CTCCTCCTCCTCCTCGTCCTCCTCCTCGTCTTCCCCATCCCAAACAGAATTCCCTTGCGGAGCAGAATCGAGCAAAACCGCTTATCAGTACAACTGTCATTCTTACTTGTTGTATTAGTATCATCATTAGTAAATTAAGAATAAGAAGAAATCCTGAGGCCCCCCCCCGCCCCACCCCCCAAGAAGACCCCCAGGATTGTTGTTGTTTGCTTGTTAGTGTGCTTGCTTTTGGTTCCTAGGGATTGGCGTGGCTATGTTCCGCGAGGTGATTCTGATTGGGATGGGGAGGAGGACGGGAAGAGGAAGAGAAGGAGGACTGGGAAGAGAAGGAGGAGGAGGAGGAGGAGGAGGAGGAGGAGGAGGAGGAGGAGGAGGACCAGCAGGAGCAGGAGGAGGAGGAGGAGGAGGAGGAGGGAGGAGGAGGAGAAGGAGGAAGAAGAGGACGAACCGGTTCGAAATGGCCCACAGGCGCCCCCCACGGGAGTCCCATTCAAGGAACATGAAAATCGCAGAAACGCTGGGTGCCGTTTTGCCCTCGAACCCGCCCCTGGTGCCCCTCCACCCTCCAAGTGGTGCTGGTGGTGGTGTGTTTCTCTACCCCCGTTCGCTCCTCCCCGCCGCACCTCTGGCTCCCCACCGCCCTGCCCGTCCAGCAGCTTACGCCGGGCTCTGAGCTGATTCGGCAACGGGAACCGAAACAGTGAACAAAGCACATCGCGCCTTCATGGGATTCCCTTCTCCGCGTTCTCCTCCTCCGTATCATTGCGTCGGCCTGTCGCTTGGCATGTCTGCTTGTCATATTCGTTTGGGGGTACCCTCCTGGGACCCACCTAATGCAATGTTTGTCTCTGGCTCGGTTCGATTTCGATTATACTTCCACTCTAGCTGCCAAATTCAAGTTCTTCTGAGGCTTGACCCAAGCCGACAGGCGTTCGACGCCGCATCGACGCATGATATAAAGGAGCGAGTGGCTCCAGGAAGGTTCCCAGAACCAGCTGCTGATCTATTGTCTGTCCAGTCCGAATGCAGTGTTCATGATGTAAGGCGCGAGACACAAGGGCAGGCGATGCAGCCATGCCTGAAAAGGGATGGGCGGGCAGCGGTGGAAAAAGATTGGGCCAGACAGTGGGGGTAATGTCGACCCGCATAGTGAGGATGGGCAACCTTCTTAAGGGTAGATTTGCATCCTTGCCTCCTCGGTCGATCCTTGGTCGCGTTCGTTGGCCGAGCCCCGCTCGAACAGCTTGGACCTTGGCTTCCAAGGCCCATCCTTATCGCGCATCCTTAATATACGGGTTGGCTGTAGTCTCCCCCTCGGGGGCAGCGTCAGGAGGGACTTTCTCGGGGGGGGATGCGCCATCGCCGACCGATCACCGATATAGCAAACCCCGCCCAGGAGCGTGCGGCTTCGCTGTCCGGGCACCATCGCCGATCTAGCCGAGATGCATCACCAATTCACGCTCGATGTTTCTCCGTCTGGGCCCGTGCCACCGTGAAGCCGCAGACCCTCGACGCCGACGACGACGACGACGACCACGACGACGACGACGACGACGACGACGACGACGACGACGACGACGACGACGACCACGACCACGACGACGACGACGACGACGACGACGACGACGACGACGATTTTCGACGCCGCGTGGCCTCGCATTCGCCCTGTCGCCCCCGCGAGCCAGGTGGCGAGAGCCCGACGAGGCCCCGTCGCGCCGGGGAGCCCCTCTGCTGGGCCGTCTTGCGCTCGGGCGGGGGCCGAGGCTTCGGGGGGAGCTCACGAGCTGCGAACGTGCCGGTGTCCGCGCTTCCTCTGGGCCTGGATTCTCCAGAGGAGGAAAGGGTACCCATACCGCTGCGCTCCCCTCGTTCTCCTCTTTTTGGGCCTCCTGGGAGGCCCTCGTCCCCACCGCTGGATTCGCCTCGAAGCTCTTGTCACAGCGCCCCCCTGGAGAGGACCTAGGAGCAGCGGTATTGGTGCCCTGTGGATTCCCCAAGTCTGGGGCGCGATTTCGCGGATACGCGGTCGCACGGGCACTTTCTGCGCGGGGCATCCGCGAAAAAGCGCCCCGAATCCGCGGGGGCGGGTTCCAGGGGCCCGGCCCGCAAGGCCGCGGATACGGATGTGTGTGTTTGGCCCACGAAAATTCTTCGGCGGCGAACCCAAGAGGGGCCTTCTCAGAAGGCTCGGGCTTCCGAGAAGTTCCGCCGCCTTCTGAGAAGGCCTGCCAGGAGGAGGAGGAGGAGGAGGAGGAGGAGTAGGTAGAGGAGGAGCAAGAGGAGGGGAGCAAGGGGGGAGGGAGAGGAGGAGGAGGAGGAGGAGGAGGAGGAGGAGGAGGGAGGAGGAGGAGGAGGAGAGAGGGGAGGAGGGAGGAGGAGGAGGAGGGAGGAGGAGGAGGAAGGAGGAGGAGGAGGAGGAGGAGAGCAGTGTTTTTTTTTTTTATTATTATTATATATATATATATATATATATATATATATATATATATATATATTTGGAAGAAGTCATGAGAGTGGTGCGTTCCAAGATGTCCAGGACGTTCTAACTTTGTTGATATGTCCAGGACGTTCTAACTTCCCTGTTGTGCAGTTCGGGCTCCAGAAGCGACAGCCGCCAGATATGCCAGAGCTCCCAGGGCGCATCCTGAGCCAATGGCACCATGACATCATTCTCCTCCGGGGAACTCGGGCGGATGAAGAGAAGGGCCCGAAAGGGGCCTTGGAGCCAGTTGGTGCCCAAAAGGGCCCCACTTTGGGGCCCTTCTCTTAACCCCCAATTTGGGCCACCCCCCATTACCACCCGCCTTAGAAATGGGGGTGGTAGAAACGGGGGCGAAGACCGCCCGCAGTCCATACCCACTTCTGGGCCAGATGCGCTGTCGGTGCCGCCGCGGGCGCTGTCCCATTGGCACGAGCTTCGCCGGTCGAGCGTGGACCGCTTGTCGGCTGGGCAACGCACGCTGCTTGTTCAAGGCGCCCGCGGCCGCGGGTTGAGGTGGTCGTCGGCACCGTTGGGCTCCGTTGGACATCGGCTGGCGCAGCATCGGCATCACCCAAACATGTTTATACTGTGTGTGCATCGGCCCCCCAGGGTATGAATACCGGAGGGTATGCATACCCCTATAGGGCCTACCCCGAGGGCCTACCTCTAGGCCTACCATTTCCCTTGGGCCTACCCCTAGGTCTACCCTAGGCTTACCCCTGGGGCCTAACCCTAGGGCTTACCCTTGAGCCTAGCCCTAGGATCTACCCTTGGGGCCTCCCCCTCGAGCTGCCCTAGACCTACTCCTAGGGCCTACCCCTAGGCCTACCCATAGGGCCTACCCCTAGCGTTGTGGCTTTCGCGTGCCAGCTGGACGATGCAGCATACTCTACACTCTATACTTAATGTCTGTCCCACCCGACCCAGCCCGCTTGACCAGGCATTGCCGTCGGGGCTCTCGCGTGCCAGCCGGACGACGCGGTATACTTTACTCCGTATGTTAATGTCCCGCCCACCCGACCCGACCCGCCAGTGAGGGCCCAGCCCGCTCGACCAGGCCCAGCCGTTGGGGCTCTCGCGTGCCAGCCAGACGACGCAGCATACTTTACTCCATACCTGGATATCTCGCCCGCCTGGCCAGACCCGCCCGTGAGGGCCCAGCCCGCTCGACCAGGCCCGGCCGTTGGGGCTGCCGCGTGCCAGTCGGACGATGCATTATATATTATTCCACCCTTCAATGTCCCACCCGCCCGACCCGACCCGCCCGTGAGGGCCCGGCCCGCCCGACTAGGCCCAGCCTTTGGAGCTCTCGCGTGCCAACTGGATCATGCAGTGTACTTTACTGCCCGGGATCTGATATATCTGAAGACAAGACAGCAAGTATCGTGTTAAGTTGCACGATATTATAATAAGAACGCATATGGTGTATATGCATGCGTTTTTATAACTGATGTAAGACTACCACAACATGAGAACATAGTGCCTACTCACAGCACCCCTGCACGGCGCCCTTAAGCACACGCGAGGAACAATGTAGACAACCGTTCGGTCTATCAAACGGTTGTCATAAACCGTTGCGCACGTTTGCGCATTGTGTGAAACATCTATAGCTACATCTAACAGCGCACACGCATACACGAAACCGCAATGTTACTTCGCAATGAGGCGCAACAACCTGTTGATGTACACCAGGCGAATTGGAGTCATCGTCATTGATTGTTGTCCCCGCTCGCTGTCTGTTTTCGTCGTCGACCGCCCTCGCCGTCGTCGACCGTCGCCGGATCGTCGTTTTCGATCGTCGACCGTCCGGGGCAGAGATGCTGCCCCGGCCGCTGCTGCTGCCGCTGCTGCCGCAGCCACTGCTGCCTCTGCCGCCTCTGCCACCGCCGCCGTTGCCGCAGGTGCCGCCGGGGAGGGAGCTGCCGCTGCCGCTGCCGCCGCCGAGGGCCGCTGCTCTGGCTCCCGGCGTGTGGGCGCCAGGCAGGGGCCACACGGAGGAGCGAAGAGGGTAGCCGGTGCGTTTGCGTTTGTGTGGCATGGGCTGGTGATAGTGATGATGACGACGATGATGATGATGACGATGATGACGATGACGATGACGATGACGACGATGATTAAGATGATGATGATGTTGATGATGATGATGCTGATGATGCTGATGTTGATGATGGTGGTAATGCAGATGTTGATGTTGATGCTGATGATGATGATGATGATGATGCGGATGATGACGATGATGACGATGATGACGATGATGATGATGATGATGATGATGATGATGATGATGATGATGATGATGATGATGATGATGATGATGATGACGATGATGATGATGATGATGATGAAGATGATGATGATGATGATGATGATGATGATGAAGATGATGATGACGATGACGATGACGATGATGACGACGACGATGCTGATGATGAAGATGATGATGATGATGAGGATGAGGACAAGGGGCGGGCAGACGGAGGAGCGAAGAGGATAGCCGGTGCGTTTGTGCTCGTTTGGCATGGGCTGGCACCGACTGCGAGTGCCAAAGTGCGTCCCGCGAGCCGAGGAGTGGGGCGGCGCCGCCGGGCTCGTGGGTCCTGACGAGGAGGGCACTTGTTCTTTGTTTAATGCCTGTTGCTGTTTTGCTGTGGCTGGGGCGTGGACGCGAGTAGCGGTGGAAACAGGCATGTCTTTCGGCCACCTCATCCGGGAAGGGGAGCCTTTTCGCCACAGATGTGGCTCCAACATTGGGCGCGGACGGACTCTTGGATGGGTCCGCGGACCCGTTCGGTGAGTTTGCTCGGGAGTCGCCAACAATGCACCACCGCCAGCCCCAGCCAGACCCTCACTGGGCTAGCGAGGAGGGGGAGAATAAGGAAACGAGGGAGGGATTAGGAGGAGGAGGAGGAGGAGGAGGGAGGAGGAGGAGGAGGAGGAGAAGGAGGAAGGGGAGGAGGGGGAGGGCGAGGAGGAGGGGGGGATAGAAAGAGGAGGATGGGGTCTGTGGTCCTGTCTTGAGCAATTTTTGTAGGTGGCATGCGATTGCACCACCGCCCAGCAAGCTTGGGCCCTGGAGCGTGCGCAGATCGTGCTAGCCTATATGGGCCAGGCGACCCTCAACACCTCCTGCCTCCTCCGTCATCCCACTCCTCCTTCTCCCTCTCCTCCTCCTCCTCCTCCTCCTCCTCCTCCTCCTCCTCATCCTCCTCATCCTCCTCCTCCTCCTCCTCCTCCTCCTCCTCCTCCTCCTCAGCCCATTCAGCACACCCCTTTTGCTGGGCATACCTGTCACCGTAACTACATGCATTCTCGCGCACATGACATTCGGGTGGTGAGCATTCGCTTTTCACTCGCACGTGCATCATGGTCGCTCACACGTTCTCCGTCTCCTCCTATAAGTGTCTCAGCATGCAGCAAAGCGATCGGTTCTACGACATCTGCCGCACGCTTCGCACGAGCGTCATACTTATTCAAGGCACACGACGTCGCATCCATGATCAAGACCCATGCGATACATATACGTCTTCGGAATACCATCAGCTTCATTTTGGTTATCATTCTAATCAAGGCAATGCACATACTGGAGTTACTATTGCGATTTCGTCTCAGAGGTTTTCGAGATCAAATATAATCTCTGTCTCACATCCCAAGCAGCAATATCTCTGGGGACGCGGTGGGGCTACTCGATGTAAAAATCAGCAGTCCGACTTTACATTCATCTCGGCCTACCTCCCCCCGAATACGGATTCCGCCCGAAGTCGTAGAGATTATCAAAAAAACGCTGGCGTGGCTGGAAGAACTATATTCATCGCTCTCATCTCGAACGTTACCAGTCTTGGGCATCGACTCCAATGAGCACATTGGGCTCCTCAGGACCCCCGCGGGCCCCACACCTACTGACGATCTCTGCACTGGGCCCTTGCATCGCAGCTTGCAACAGCCTCGGACCCATCAGTTTATAGCATTCCTTCTCAAGCATGACTTGATATTGCTTAACACGTTTTACCCGACCTTCCCGACTTACTACCATGGAGTATCAGGTTCGACCAGCCACATTGATTTCATTATTCTTCCTCGCAGTTTCTACCTCGCGCAGCATGTGGTCAAATGTCAGGTTCTCAGATCCCTTGGCGACCGTCTTCAGCTCGTACCTGATAGCCGACGAGTTGATCATCACCCAGTCTATGCACTCCTCGAGCACAATCTACGCTATGACGGATCCGAAGCAGATCAACATGTACGCTGGGATTTCGATAAGCTTGTTCAATCCGTCATGCAGGGCTCTCAGCGTCAGGATTTTCTCATTGCTCTTGATAAGTGGGCTGAAGATCACTCTGTCGAATTAGATAACGTTGCAACAAAGAGCTCATCTGAGCAATGGGAGCTACTTATCGAGCACGGTCTTCTCCCTATCGCAGCTAAATTTTTTCAAAAACAGACGTCTGTGGCTGGACCCTACTCACGAGAACGTCAGGACCTCCTACGCCGACGACGTGAGTTACGAGTACAATGCTTACAAGCTCCTAAGCTATCTTCACATGACATAGTTGTTCACGCATTTCAGCAATGGCATAATCTCTCTCGGTTACTTCAAGTTAATCGCAGCATTCGTCGCCTACATGCTATTCGTACCAATACGCTGAACGAACAACGACGTGTCGAGCTTCAAGAGGCTTGGCGGGCTCGCAGATTAGCAGAAGCATGGCATCTCGCTCGACTTCGCACAGGCAAACGCATTGGCCGCCGTCTTCGAAATTATCACAAAGCCGCTCTTCGTCGTCGCTCAGAAGCCGAATGGTTTGACAAACTTTCTATCCCTGGCTCGCAAGGGGGGTGGAATTGCATTCGCTTGCCTATCGCTCAAGTTCGACAAGAATTTTTCGACGATCATGATGCATCTGTTCATGTTAGCTATCAACGCCATTTACTTGGGGAATGCGATCTAAAACACACCAGCTGGTGGATTCGGAAAAGTTCTAACCGACGTTCACCTCCGTCTTGGGACGTGCCGAACGAAGTCTGGAAAATGGCCCTTTGGTCTCACGCAGTATTTACGCCAGAATCACATGGAGTCCGACACGACGCTACACTTTACGAGCCGCAGTTGTTCCTCAAACGCCTACAACGGGTTCTTGATATGATTCTGGCTACTGGACATAGCCCTTACCAATTTCATCGCAGTCAAGGATTTCAGATTCCCAAGAAAGACGACTTTCGCATTGTTCACAGCGCTTCATCTTTTTCTGAGGCACATCACAAAGGTCTCCTTCGACGACGTGGCAAACCTCATCGCCCCCCCCCCCCCCCCCCCCCCCCCCCCCCCCCCCCCCCCCACCCCACCCCACCCCACACACACACACACACACACACACACACACACACACACCACACACACACACACACACACACACACACACACACACACACACACACACACACACACCACACACACACACACACACAACACACACACACACACACACACACACACACACACACACACACACGCCCCCGCATCGCGCGTTCGCAGTACCAGGCCGACGCCGAGAGGAGGCCGTACTTATCAAAATGCTAGTGTCTCATCGCTGCTCCAAACATGGCCTTAGTATTGCGAATCGTCACTATGACGTGGTCAACGCATTCGCCTCCCCGTCGCACGACATCATGGATCAAGCTACTCAGTACCTCATGTTACCTCAACCTGATGATGACATAGAAGACGACGCGGGCGACGATACTCCAGCACATGTTGCAGAACAGGACGAACGCTCACTGCGTCAACACCATCGGCATTCTATTTGTGTGCTACAGACATCGGATGTTCCTGCCGAGTTTTACCCTCGCAGTGGTACCTTTCAGGGCAACAGCGTTGCGACGAGCGAGTTTCACATGCCGCACTGGCAGGCTGTGCAAGCTTGGGGGGAAAAACGCAAGATGCTCACTTGCTCGTTCCATCGCCGTTGAATTCTGCCGTCATTGACTTGTCTATCGCGCCCTTCGTCGACGATCTCTGTAAGCAGTACACTATTACCACACCTAAGAGCTTATATGACACACAAGCACAGCACGACCATAGCTTCAACACCATATCCGCGGGCTACACGATCGCACAGCACACGGGCAAGAGCGAGTCCACAGTTCATTTTGTCGGAGCGCGTGCACATACTCATCAGCGTACCGTTCATGCACAGCAGCTCCAATGCAAAGTACTGAGCGCCGCGCGTTATCTTGGGCCATATCTACATTATCGCAACTGCTTTTACGTCGAGCGCAACTTACGCATCCAGGCTGTAAACAAAGCATGGTTTATATTCAAACGATTCTGGTTTACTAAGACTGACCTTCGGTTTCGCGTTCTAGTATTTCGGTGCACTGTATGGTCTGCACTACTATCAGGGCTTACCGCATTCGTTCTCACTGAACACGACTACACGATTTTCGACAAGTATATACTCTATAAAGGGCGCAAATTGATGAAAGGCAAAGCTAATATAAAGACTACCCTCATCGACGGCACGATCAAACATAAACCTACCCCCACGATCGAGGCATGGAGAAATATCGGCATGGCAGACACGATCACTGAGCTGCGCATCCAGAGGCTAAAATGGTTTCAAAAAATATGTAGCCGCCCTCTTCATCATCAGCTATATATAACTGCTATGTTCGGTCGCTTCCCTCATGATTCTCCCGACGCTGTGATTTCTCATCCGTGGCTGGAGCAGCTGGCCACAGATATACAGGAGTTGTCTCTGTTGGAGTGCGCATACTTTCTCGACGGCGTTTCTCCATGGCAGCTCGCAGTGACTGGTGCGCTTCAGGAAGACTTTGTAGAGGTTGACGTGTCCGAGTTGCGTGCTCAGTTCCTCTCCGTCAACATCCCTCCTCCTCATCACGAATACGACGCGCTTAATCCTCATACGTCATCAGGTTCATTACCTACTGGCGAGTATTATTGTGGGCTCATGCGCACTGATGGTAACATATGTACACTTACGTTCCCTACCATGAAAGCTCTTAGACTCCATCGCGCACGTGAACAGAGCATGCATGGCATGATTACTCTCGACTCTATCGTTATGGAAGCTGTGTGTCCATGGTGCTTTACACACTTTTCTACACGCAAAATCGCACAAGATCATGCACGACGTAGCTGGCATTACGGTAGGTGTATTGTTGATCAAAGCTTTATACCCACGCCTCCTATTGTGTCCGACACCACCTACACGTGCGCCGTATGCAAGCTCTACGGGTACAATTACGAGTGCGACGACATATATGTGTACAATCATCATATCCGTACCCAACATCTATCTGGTCCAAGACGACTTGAGTTTTCCAAGGCAGATACCTCATCCACATTCTTTCCGCAGATCGCGGCACCCAGCCCCAATGCACCTCGGACTGGCGACGGGCTCATCCAGGCCAGTGGCGAAAGACCGTCGCAAAGGCGCAAGTCAGCGCGACCTTCAGGCTCTGGTTCTTCTCATAGCAAAGTTAACCCTCAGTACTGGTATGTCGTCACGGGTTCTACGGGCAATCGCGTTGGAAAACTATCAGGTGAGCGAGAGCTCCGAGTACTTCATCCAGGGGAAGAATTCTACC